ACATCCTCCCAGGTCTTCACCATGACCATTTCCTGGTCGTGGTTCCCTTTGTTCGGGTTAACCATGAACGGCTGCAGCGCAATCAGAGGTGAACTGTGGTGGCCACCGTGGACCCAACTGCCGCTGATATCCTGGTACTCAATGGTTTCCATCGCTGTGAGCTCTGCGGGAATATTCTCCACAGCGATATCCACCAAAGGGATATTTCCCACAGCGACATTCGCCTCAGAGATATCCTCCAAAGGGATATTCCCCACAGCGACATTCGCCTCAGATATATCCGCAAAAGGGATATTTCCCACAGCGACATTCACCTCAGAGATATCCTCCAAAGGGATATTCCCCACAGCGACATTCGCCTCAGAGATATCCGCAAAAGGGATATTTTCCACAGCGATATTATCCCAAGAAATATTGTCCATGGAGATATTCTCCAAAGAGATATTGTCCATGGTGACATTCTCCAAAGGGATACTCTCTACTGCGACACTCTCCATGTTGATATTCTCCAAAGCAAAATCGTCCACAGCAATATTCTGCATAGCAATAGTCTCTAGGTGTACCTGGTGTAATTTCATTAACGCGACAGCCTCCTCCAGCTCTTCTGGGGTGATGTAGATAAAGTTGTTTGAAGCCATGGCTGAGAGCTCTGACGAGGCTTTCACGACCAGGCGCTTTCACGACTAGACTAGGCCGCAGCGCAGGGCGGGGCAGCCAGAAGGTGGCGGAAAAGCTGAGAGAAAGAACGCGCGCGCTCCCCTCCGCTCCGCACCGCACTCCGCTCCGCTCCGCGGAAAAGGCGCGAAGGGCAGAGAGTGGCGCTGACTGGCGGTTTAGGCTTAGACGCGGGGGATTCTGGGCATCCTGGCACCCAGCGCATGCGCTTCCCGATACCCTGGCGCATGCGTGGGGTCACGCTCATACTCGGTCACGTCATACCAGGTCACGCTCAATACCCGTATGCTACCCCCTCCAGCCTCTTCGCTCCGTCTACCCGCTATTGCGTCTTCAATATTAATTCACTAACCGGCCGCTCCGTCTACCCGCTATTGTGTCTTCAATATTAATTCACTAACTGGCCGCTCCGTCTACCCGCTATTGCATCTTCAATATTAATTCACTAACCGGCCGCTCCGTCTACCCGCTATTGCTTCTTCAATATTAATTCACGAACCAGATTCTTTACTGAATTTTTCTATATTTCATTTCCATTTATTTTATCCATCTCCCTCCTCGGGTGTATAACAGTATTGGTGGGGGGTCTTTTTAATATTCATACTCTTTTCCCTCTTATTTACTTGCACTGATTCACACTTATAGATCATTTAATAGTATCAGTGATAGTTGACAGCGGAATTGCTTGTCTTGTCCTTTAAATAGGAATGCTTCTAAGTCAGTGTTTTTCAACCTTGGCTGCACATTAGAATCACCTGGCAATCTTTTTAAAATCCCGATTTCTGGGCCTCATCCTCCGGAAATTGTTTTCTTTGTTACTCATGTTGTGGCCCCACCCATAACAAAGAAGCAGAATTTCCGGAGGATGGGGCCCAGAAATCAGGATTTTAAAAAGATTCCCAGGTGATTCTAATGTGCAGCCAAGGTTGAGAAACACTGAGAAGTGTTATATCATTAGGAAGTATGCAGCTATTTCTACTTTCACTAAAGATTTTTGTTTTTTAGCCATTAATAGATATTGAATTCTATTAAATATGTTTCAATACCTGCTGATATGAGGATCCCCCCCCCAAAGTTTAATAATGCTTCCGATATTCAAATAGACTACCTAATGTTGAACTATCCTTGCTTTGCTTAGATACATCATGTGACTGCAGAGTATTTTTGGTGCTTTTATCTGAGTTTTATTGGCCTAAGAAAAAATCTTAGTTTCCTTCTCTATGTGCTCTGGAAAGTTTATACTAAATTGGAATTAAAAAGAAAAATCTTCTGCAAGATTTGAAAGAATTCCACCTACGAAACTTTCAGAGGCATCCTTCCTCAACTTTCTTAATTTCTCTCATTGTAATTAACCTCTGTATATACTTTTTTCCCCCTATCTTTCTGGGCTTTATTTAGGCTATTTATTATTTTTTAAATAACTATCCAGGATTTTGAAAATTTTTTGCAGAGATGAACAAAGAGCCTTTTTATAATTTTTAATTTTCTATCAACTGTCATTCCCCAATCTGACTGCTAACTCTGTCTATAGAAGCTTTCTCCCATTGTTTTTTTTTTTTTTCTTCAAAGAACTAACTCTTGGACTTAACAATTACAGTTTTTATTTTTTTCCAATTTTTATTTTCCAATTATTATTTTCTGCCTATATCCTTACAAATTATAATAATTTCTGAACCATTTTATAGTTTTTTCCCCTCACTTCTTCAGTTGCTTATCTGATTTACTTTCACTTATTCCATAACTATTGAAGGCAGTTAATTTTCCTTTTAGCAAAACTTTGTACATTATTTCATTTTTACTTTTAAATATACTACAATGATTGTTTTGAATGAAACTGGACAATTTTTAATGTATTATGAGCACTTGAAAATAAATTGTGGTACGATTTTGACATAATTATTTTTTTCTTATTAACAGCTTTTATGATCTGACTTTTTCATGCCTACGTGCCAAGTATCAAGAGATAGGAGTCTCTTTTGTTATACCTGTTGCTTTCTTTGTACTTTCTCCATTTTCGTTTTGATGGTTTGTTACTTGAAACAGTAAGACTTGCAGCAATTACATTTTCATTGTGGATTATACTCCATATGATTAAGTGCTCCTCTGTCTTCATTTAATGCTTTAGTCATATTTTCTATTCACATGGTATGTTCAACTCATTGTACTTTGTCTTTTTAAAATTATGTTGGTTTTAGTTGTTTTTTTAAAATATATTTTTATTGATTTCAGAGAGGAAGGGGAGAGAGGGAGGGAGGGAGGGAGGGAGGGAGAGAGAGAGAGAGAGAGAGAGAGAGAGAAACATCAATGATGAGAATCACTGATTAGCTGCCTCTTGTACGCCCCCCTACTGGGGATTGAGCCCGCAACCTGGGCATGTGCCCTTGACCATAATCGAACCCAAGACCCCCCAGACCGCAGGCTGATGATCTATGCACTGAGCCAAACCAGCTAGGGCTTGCTCTACTACTTTTGACTGAGATTCTTATAAACTGAATTTATCAACCGAAAGATGAGATGCTTTTAATTTGTGATTTGAGTATTTTCCATAAAACCACTAACAACACATAGAAGAATAAAAACATTTAAATCTGTTACCTGCACAAAATATCCTTAGCTGCTGGACTGGTGATATAAGTTGCAAATGAGTGGTAAACAGATCAACAAATGCTCCAGGATAAATAATGAAGAGAAAAATCCCAAAGCCATTAAATCGAACTTGTTCCCTAAGAAATCACATAGAAAAAGAAATTTAGCACTAGTATTGCACTTTTCAAATTAATAATGTACATAATTTTAGTACTTCCCACTGTAGTGCAAATTCTTACTTGGAAAAACAAGTCTCTCTGGACAGTCAAAAAGTTATCCTACATATATGATTATCTAGCTATCATTTATCTCACAATTTTACAAAAACGTACATATTTGGTCATCTATGAAACTGCATTTTATAAAATGAAATTCTGAAATAGACTTTTAACTTGAAAATTCTTAGAAACAAATATGCTGAATAGCTTGAAATTAGTCATATATATATATGTAAAGAAAAGTTTAATATTTCTATGAGAAACTAAATAAAAAACATTTTTACGGTTTAGTCTGAATTATTTTCCGAGGACACAGTAGAAAATATAATTCAATTACATTATCTAAATATTTATATTTGTCTTAGCTTTTATATTACTAGTATTTTTTTTTTGTTGTTAATCCTCACCCGAGGATATTTTTCCATTGATTTTTAGAAAGAGAAGAAGGGAGGTGGAGAGACAGAGAGAAAGAAACATCTATGTCAGAGAGAGACATTGATTGGTTGCCTCCCACACATGCCCCGACCAAGCCTGAGGAATGAGCCTACAACCAAGGTACGTGCCTGCCCTCGACCAGAATCGAACTCAGGATCCTTCAGTATGCGGGCTGACACTCTATCCATTGAGCCAAACTTGCTAGGGCTGTCTGTGCCATTATAAATGAACGTAGAGGTTTATTCACATTAAACGGGGTACTGTTAAAAATGCATTATGCTCAGACTTTCCTTGGGAGAACTATATATCAATTCATTCTCTAAAAATGGAATTATACTTAACAGCCTCCTAAGACCAAATAGTTACTCTGAAAAAAGCACTATATAAATACACTGTGCTATCACTTAGTACTAAATACATCAGAGGACTGTATAATTCACTTTATATCGGCAGTTGTGATTTTATAAAAAAAATTAACCAGCCCTGACCAGTTTGGCACAGTGGCTAGGGCGTTGGCCTGTGGACTGAAGAGTCCCAGGGTCGATTCCGATCAAGGGCATGTACCTTGGTTGCAGGCACATCCCCAGTAGGGGGTGTGCAGGAGGCAGCTGATCAATGTTTCTCTCTCATCGATGTTTCCAACTCTCTATGCCTCTCCCTTCCTCTCTGTAAAAAATCAATAAAATATATTTTTTAAAAAATTAACCACATTATACTGTGAATTATTAAACTGTTAATAACAATTCTTTTATATGTAAAACCCTTAGGGCTGCAAGGCTAAAAATGTGGAAGCAAAGGTGAAAGAGACTTTAAAAAAGGGCAGCCACCCACTTAAACCACTACATAGCACATCTGTGTAGCAGTATGTGCTCTGTCAAGATGAGGGTTTATTGCCAATCTATAGACTCTTGTTCACAAGCAAGTGGAAAGTAATAAGTGATTAAATCTTCTTATCTAAAACCTTTAATCAGGTCCATACACTGAAGGGATAAAACACATCCCCATCAGCATGTGTACTCCTTTTGGCAGTAATTATCAGTGGGAGTGAAGGGGAGTTGTGACTCACCTTCTCGCCCATCATGATTTTATAGGTTTAGGAACCTTTAAAATAGCTATAACCATGATACATTTGGATAGTCACAACAAAAAGAGGGCATGATACTTGAAGGAAGTCCCAGTTCTCATCCTCCCTTATCTTCTCCGGTGTTTCGATAGTCTATGGAATTTGTTAACAAACCCAGAGCTTTCAATGTTCTTGCTCTAGTTAGCAGAGGCCATGAGTTAAAGCAGGAAAGTATTTCAACTGATAAGCCAAAGAAAGTACTAAGAAAGCAATGCAAAGGTATCATTGCTGAATGATGAATAGAAAGATTAGGTTTCAGGATTAGATGAAAATCATGAAGCACCATGAGGATATAACCATGCTGGTAGAAGGCAAAGGATAGAAAGACCCAGATTGTAGCTATACATACGGTTAACTGAGCATATTCATTAATATATAAATCTCCTCTGCAAAAGAGAAGGTACCTCAAAATAATAATTACGGATAAAACTGGGTAGCATGCACAGAAAGAAAAATATCAAATGTAGCAGATTTTAGTAATAAAATCTCCTAAATGCAAGCTGCTTTGCATGTAGTAGAAATAAAAAGGTAAATATCATTACCTAATGGCTGCTATCCCGTGTCCAATTTCATGTACAACACCACTAATGAGGACTGCAGCGAAGAAATACGTCAGTTGATTGACGGGTAAATTTATACCAGGAACCTATAAATTTCATAGACACAATGATAAGCACACACTTGGGTAGCAAGAGAACATAATGTTCACTTTGTAATAAAGCTTAAACTTCGAAGCTGATAGTTCTATAAACTAAAAATAATGTGAATATCAATGGTTCATTTTTTCATTTCTATCATAATAAAAGTAAAAACACCAGTCATTTTTTGAAGTAGGCAGCTTTTGAATTAAGCAAAATACCAATCTAAAGAGAAAAGGAAACACCAGGTTAAAAAGCTGAAATTTTAGCTTCCTGTAGTTTTCACTACCGGAAAGAATTAGAGAGCCTGGCAAAGTGCCAGGGGCCAGGGACTGTGAAGCGACATTGAAGGAGTCAGCTGGAAGCCTGGTTTGGGAATTCTTGTTACAATTCCTAGTTCTTCCTCTATTCTTCTATATTGTTATTGCAGGGTTCCAAGTACTTATGTGAGTAATATAGGATATCCCCACCCCCATCAATGAATTTCCTTTTAGTATTCTCAAGTTATATGAGAGTTGTTAATTAAAGGTAGTGTAATAAAGCGCCTTGTTGGTGTGGGAGCACTATACCTTCCATAACTTTGATTGTATCAGTTTGTCCAGTACATGGGTAGGAGCAAAGTGATACATAAATATTGTATTAAAATTGAAATTTAATGCAGAAGGTACGGCATTTGGAACATTCGTACATATTAAGGACCTGTGAAGAATCAAGAGTTGTCTTGTGCCCTAACCAGCTTGGCTCAGTGGATAGAGCATTTTGGCCTGCCAACCAAAGGGTCCTGGGTTCGATTCCGGTCAAGGGCACGAACCTTGGATGTAGACTCCTCCACAGCCTGGGCCCTGGTTGGGGCTCCTGCAGGAGGCAACCAATCAATGTGTTTATGTTTCTGTCTGTCTTTCCCTCTGTCTTCCACTCTCCCTAAAATTCAATGGAAAAATATCCTCAGGTGAGTATTAACAACAACAAAAAGTTGTTTTGCAAACATGTGCTCCTAAGATGTTGTATAGATATAAATCATTGCATACACAAGGGAAGTTTGCGATTTAAGGGCTGCGTGACAAATTATTTTTTTCATTTTATTTTTAAAAATATATATATTTTTATTGATTTCAGGGAGTAAGAGAGAGGGAGAGATAGAAACATCAATGATGAGAGAGAATCACTGATTGGCTGCCTCCTGCCCCCCACATTGGGGAACAAGCCCGCAACCCAGGCATGTGCCCTTCACTGGAATTGAACCTGGGACCCTTCAGTCCGCCGGCTGATGCTCTATCCACTGGGCCAAACCAGCTAGGGCTCATTTTATTTTTTAAATATACTTTTCATTGTTGATAGTATCACAGATATCTCTCATTTTACCCTCCTTTACTCCCCTCTAAATTATTTTTTAGATACCCAAGAATCTGCTCATAAGATAAATAATCACTCCCAAGTTATGTTAATTATTAAGGAGAGATTCTATAAATTAGGCTAAGTGGGGCCCACCAGGCATCAATACTATACTGAGCATCTATTTCTCACAGTCCAGGAGTTGGGACCCTGAAGGTATTCTTCTGGAGGAAATTCCTACTTTCTATTATTAGTTACTGTTTTAAGTTAATTATAAAATACTAGAGGCCCAGTGTACGACATTCGTGCACTGGAGGGTGGGGTTCCCTCAGCTCAGCCTGCCCCTCTCACAGTCCGGGAGCCCTCAGTGGATGTCCTACTGACAGCCACAGTCTGGCAGCAGAGGCTTGGAGCAGGCGTCCCGTGTGTGTGTGTGTGTGTCCCTGCTGAGGGCCTGCCCCCAGCTGTGTAGGAGGCTCAGAGCAGTCGCCCTGTGTGTGTATGTGTGTGTCTGTGTCTGCTGGGGGCCTGTCCCCAGCCCCACTGGGGAGGCTTGGAGCAGGCGCCCTTCTGTGTTGATCTCTCAGGCTCCTGGCCTCCACTGTGTGGTGTTCTCTCCCTTGAGCTGTGGACAGGGTGGGGTGCTGGCTGCAGGCCACACTTTCCTGCTCACGGATCACTGTGGAGACCCCTGGGCAGGCCCTCCTGGGTGCTGCCTGCGGGCAGCGCTTTCCTGCTCATGGATGGCTGCTGGCGGATCGCCATGGCAACCCGGAGCAAGCCCTGCTGGATGCTGCCTGCAGGCCACACTTTCCTGCTCTCGGATTGCCACGGCGACCCAGGAGTAGGCCCTCCTGGTTGCTGCCTCCTGGGTGCTTTCCTACTCTGGGATCGCCACAGTGACCCGGGAGCTGGCTCTGCTGGATGCCTGCAGGCAGCGCTTTCCTGCTCACAGATCACGATCGGCATGGCAACCCGGGAGCAGGCCCTCCTGGGAGGCCTGGATGGCAGCGGGGTGGCGGATTGCCCTGACGCCCCCGGTCGCACAGGGGAGGCCAGGATGGTGGCTGGCGGGCTGCGGATCGCGCTATCCTGCCCCGCCCACAATATGCAAATTTAACGGCCATCTTTGTTGGGTTAATTTGCATACTCTTCTCATTGGCTGATGGGCATAACGAAGGTACAGTCAATTAGCACTGTTGTCTTTTATTAGTGTAGATGTCTAAAGCAGGAAAACTTGAAAACTGAAAAGATAAAGAGAAGCCTATAATCTTGCTCCCAGAACACAAATAAAAAACCATTCTCAATGTTTTAATGCAGTCTTTCTATCTTGTTATGTACACATATTTTTTTAAATTGTGCTTTTATTATAAATACTAAAGGCCCAGTGCATGAAATTCATGCACTCGGGGGGATGGGGGATGGGGAGGGAGGGCTCAGCCCAGCCTGCAACATCTTGCAGTCTGGGAGCCCCGTGATAGATTGCCCTGCAGAGGGAGGCCC